TCTGTGACGTTTCTGACTGAAGCCCCTCCCACTGCTTCATCACCTGGATCCAGGCAGCGTTAGTTATTCATGTGTAATTTTAGTGAAATAAAGTGAACGAGTTCGTGAACATGTGTTTGGTTTCTCTTGCTGGAAAAAATAAAAAAGCAAAATTTAATCAAAAATATTAAAAATGTACATAATAAAATACAAATCAATTCAAAATAAAGTAAAAAATGTATGAAATTATATTATAGACTAAATAAAATTTAAAAGAGTACATGATACAAAATAAAAAAAATTAAAGTAAAAATTAAGTAAAAACTATTTTTAAAGCGAAAAGTGAAATTAAGAAAAAATCAAAGATCTATTTTTAAGCGTTTATTGTAATTATAAATAATAATAATAATAACAGAGCTGAAGGTCTGCTGACAGATTCAAATGATGCTGTTGAACCTTCATGTACGACCGAGCCGCTAACATGAACTCTTTATAACCAGTGAGATGTCACAGGTGATGATGATGAGAGCTCCTCTGTGAAGCTCAGGGAAGGATGGACCATCAAACTTTTGCTCTTTAAAAACTCAGTTCATGTATTAATCAGTTCAGATATCGATCGATCGCGTATTGATCCCTTTGAGGCTCCACGTGGACGACCTGCTGCTGAATCCGGTCCTCCTCAGAAGCTCGAGTACATCCCCAGCCTCTTGGCGGCCTCAGAGATCCTCGGCGTCTTCCTGCTGGGGAACGGGTAGTAGACCTGGGAGTGTGAGGATGCCCCCCCCACGCTCTGCTGCCTGGTAAACCTGAGCGTCCTGGAGCTCCTCCCCTCCGGGACACTGTTACTGGTCTCCTTCTGTGTAGACCGGTTCTCCTGCTGGTCCTGTTGCAGGCTGGTGGTGATAGGGGTGGAGCTTTCCGTCAAGCCCAGAGAGTAGTCCGGAAACGCCAGGTCCCCCCTGGAGCCCCTGAAGGATGGAGGGTCTGGATCTTCCTCTTCTCGTGTGGCGCTTAAGGAGCAGCATGGAGGCGTTTCTGAGGAGCTGCTCGGAGGAGCCGAGAGTCTCCTGTATCTGGACTCGTGCTGTGAGCCACCGACCTCCGAGGAGGACGAGCCGGAGCGTCTGCAGAGGAAAACAACAGCACGGGAAGAGATTTGTACAAACTGAAGCTTCACCATCATCAGAGAGAGCAAACTGTGAGGACAGCTGTGAGGAGGCGTGATAACACTGAACCTCCCTTCCATGTTCCTCCAGAGCGTGCAGGCGGGTTCCTCCCAGCAGGGATGAAGACCTCTCAGGTGGACATGATGAAGACCTCCTGCTGTGCTGGAGCTCTGACAGAGAGGAACTCACCTGCTGGATGTCTCTGGGCAGGAGCGCCGGTGCAGGTCCAGGTGGACGTGCCAGGGGTCAGGGTCAAAGATCACGGGTGGTGGCCATGGTAACGTCAGACCCTGAGGGGCGGGGACGATGGCGACTGCCTCGGACAGCTC